GGAGAGTGAGTACAGAGGAGGGGTAGAAAGAAACGGAGAGAGAGAATTCCAAGCAGGCTCCACACTGTTAGAGCTAGAGCTCAACATGGGCCTCGAATGGAGGAACTGTGAGATCATGACCTGAGCCAGAATCAAGAGTTAGATGTGTAACCAACTGAGCCACCCAGGCACCCCTATCCACAGAGTATTTAAAAGTGGGCTGCTTAATTTCTCCTTTTTTGGGCTTTTCTAGATAATTATTTTTTTTAATATTTATTTTTGAGAGAGATAAAGAGAGTGCAAGTAGGGGAGGGGCAGAGAGGGGGGCTGAGGGGAAAGAAGATCCAAATTGGGCTCTACACTGACAACAGCAAGCCAGATGCAGAATTTGAACTCACAAACCATGAGATCATGACCTGAGCTGAAGCTGGACTCTCAACCGAGTCACCCCATGCCTCTAGGTAATTAGTAATGATTTTTAATTTAATGTGATTTTTGCCAGAGAACACCCTCTGCAAGAATCAGTCTTTTTTAACTAATTAAGGATTTTTTTATGGCTCAGCATATAATCTTCAATGATGTGTGTATTATGTGTGCTTGAAAGGGGTGTGTATGTATCCTTTTGTTCTGTTTGTTGGTCTATGCACATCAGTTGATCACATGGCTGATTATGCTGTTAAACACATTCTAGATTCCTGCTGTTTTGTTGTCCAGTTCTCCTGCTAATTAAAGAGACAAGGATGGTAAAATCCCACACTATGATCTTGGATTTGTCTGCATCTTGATTTGGTTCTGTCCATTTTGAACCTGTTTATATGTACATATATATATACATGGTTATGTCTCCCTGATGGGTTCTGTACACATAAATATACATGGTTATGTCTCCCTGATGGGTTCTGTACACATAAATATACATGGTTATGTCTCTCTGATGGGTTATGTATATATATACCTAGTTATGTCTCCCTGATGGGTTATGTACATATATATACATGGTTATGTCTCTCTGATGGGTTATGTATATATATACCTAGTTATATCTCCCTGGTAGGTTATGTACATATATATACATGACTATATCTCTCTGATGGGTTATGTAATATATATACATGGTTATGTCTCTCTGATGGGTTATGTATATACATACCTAGTTATATCTCCCTGGTAGGTTATGTACATATATATACATGACTATATCTCTCTGATGGGTTATGTAATATATATACATGGTTATGTCTCTCTGATGGGTTATGTACATATATATACATGATTATGTCTCTCTGATGGGTTATGTATATATATATACACGGTTATGTCTCTCTGATGGGTTATGTACACACATATATACATGACTATGTCTCCCTGATGGGTTATGTACATATATACACATGGTTATGTCTCCTTGATATGTTATGTACAGGTATATACATGGTTATGTCTCCCTGTTGGGTTTTCCCTTCTATCATTATGAAATGCACTGTGTTACTATTCTTGCCTTCAAGTCTGTTTTGTTGGTATTTAGATAGCCACACCAGCTTTCATACACTTACTTTGTGAATGCTATATTTTTTCCACCCTTTTACCTCCTACATACATGTGTCTTTATAATGATAGTGTATTTCTTGTACACTACAAGTCACCCATATTACTTTTTTTTTTTTAAATAAAAAGCCATTTGATAATCTCTGCCTTCTAATTGGAGTACCTACTTCATTTACATACAATTATTTATATGGCTCTGATCAAGTCTGTCATTTTACATTTTGATTTCTATTTGTCATTTTGAGTTCTCCCCTGTAGCCTTTATTTAATATTAATTTAGCAACTGTATTATTGCATTTTAATTCCTACTATTTAGGTATACCTCTCCTTTTTAAATTGCAGCTCTAGGAATTATACCATGCACTTTAACTTGTCACATTCTACATAGAATTAAAATTCTATTGCTTTTTATAAAATGTAAGAATATTGCAACATTACAATTCATTTACTCCTTATGTGTTACTGTTTTCGTATGTTTTGTATCTGCATAGGTTACAAATTTTGTTTTGTTTCATTCTATTTTACTTGATTCTATGTATTTTACAAAACTCAGAAGAAAAATTAGCTTCTATTATACTTACCTGCCTATTTAAAGTCTTGAGGCCCACCTGGGTGGCTCAGTCGGTTAAGCGTCCACTTCGGCTCAAGTCAAATCTCACAGTTTGTGGGTTCTAACCCCGCATCAGGCTCTGTGCTGACAAGCTCAAAGCCTGAAGCCTGTTTCGGATTCTGTGTCTCCCTTTCTTTCTGCCCCTCCCCCACTCATGCTCTGTCTCTCTCTGTCTCAAAAATAAATAAACTATAAAAATAAATAAAGTCCCGAGTGCTCTTCATTCCCAACCACAGATCAGATTTTTCATGTTGGGTAATTTCTTCTGCCTAAAGACGTCTCTTCGGTGTTTCTTGTAGCATCAGCACTGCTGCTAAAGAATTTTCTCAGCTTTTACTTATCTGAGAAAATTCTTATTTTTACTTATCTTTATGTATTATAGAAGGATATTTTATTGAAGGAATTCAGAATTGACCTTTTTTTCTTTCACTACTTTAAAGATGTTGTTACCTGAGTTCTGGTCTCTGCTAGTTCTGCTGGGAGGTCAGCATATGATAGTCACCCTCTAAGATGAATCATTTTTCCTTTTCTGCTTTCAAGATTTTCTAACACTGATTTTCAGCATTTTGACTATCGTGTACCTAAGGACAACGCTCTCCATATTTACTTTTTTCAGAGCTGCTGAACTTTTGTTTTCCCAAGTTGGGAATTTTCCAGCCATTATTTTTTAAAAATTTTTTTTGCCCCATTTTTCTCTTCCTTGTCTCTTTCTGAAACTACAATTATATACATGCTCTATTTTTGTGACAGGATTCCACAGAGCCCTACGGTGCTCAGCCCTTACTTCTTCATTTTTTGTTCTTTCCCCTGTTCAGAGAAATATAGTCATCATCCAATTTTAATCTCAGACTCGCTCTTTTGTCATGCAATCAATATGTTTAATATGCTATTAAGTCCATGCCATGAATTTTATTTTAGATATGTTATATATCATTTATATTATCTCAGTATTTATTTATTTTTTTTAATGTTTTTTTTTATTTATTTATTTCTAGGAGAGAGAGAGAGAGACAGCGTGAGCAGGGGAGGGTCAGAGAGAGAGGCAGTCACAGACTGAAACTGGCAGTCAGCACAGAGCCCGACGCGGGGCTCGAACCCACGAACCGCGAGATCATGACCCAAGCGAAAGTCGGACGCTTAACCGACTAAGCCACCCAGGCGCCCCTCTCAGTATTTATTTCATACTTCATTTATTTTAGCTTAGAATCTCTACTGAGATATCTTGTTCATCTTCAACAAACTTTATGACAATTGTGTGTTCTTTTTAAATACGTTTTGTAGTTCAGGGTCCAGTCACGAGGTAGAAAACACACCAATAATTTGAATAGGAAAAACATAATAGAAAGGATTATTAACTAGTGTCAGGGGATTAACTACTAAGAGGTAAAGAGTATTCTAAGGACTATATAAATAGCAGATATTGGGAGCAGCCACTCCTCTAGGGCTGAGGCATGAATAAACAGAGGAAATCACTTGCACCCCCTAGGCTGAGATTCATACATCATTAGAGAGGCTATGGTGTTAACACATGGGATTGCAGGTAAGTTCACAGTGTATCCCAGGCTACGGATGGCAAGCCAGAAATCACCTGCTGCTGTGCCTCCCCCCGACCCCCTCCATGGGAAGACGTGAGGGAAGCTACCTGCTGACCTGCTGCTGAAGCTCACAGGGAGAGCCACCTGCTGGGTGTCACACAGTCTTCTGGCTGCCTCATGCTGCAAGAGCCAGAATTCCTTTTTAATTAAAAGCACAACAGGAAGTGAAACTCCTTCCTCCTGCAGCGTCCCCATTCAGTACCTTCTATTACCAAAGCTCAATATTGGCACAGCTGGCAAAAGAGAAATGTTGTCAGACTCTTGCTCCAGTGTCACAAAGCAAGTCACAGAAAGGTAAAGTCAGAGCTGAGAAATGGTAAGTTGAGAATGTCCAGCTTGAGCACAGTTATAACAGATACTTAAAATTCTTGTCTGTTTGCTCCAACATCTATGCCATCTTAGGGCTGGTTCTTCTGACTCATTTTTCTCTTGACTGTGAGCCACATTTTCCTGTTCCTTTGCATACCTACTGATTTTTAATATGTACTAGACCCTGTGGGTGATGTATGGCAGAGACTCTGGATTGTTATCATCCTTGGGATGGTGTTGATTTTTGTTCTGACAGGCAGTTAAGTTATTGGCTGATCACACTGAACTCATAGAGACTTGGTTTTATCCTTTTTGGAGTAGGTCTCATGGTTTCTGCATAGACCTAGAACCCTATAGATGTGGGACACAGTCTTTGCTCCCACGACATCAGCCTTATGGGGTGTCTGTGAATAGGGTCAATTTACCAAGTCCTCCAACGTGGCCAGACTCGAATTCTAAACTCTATCTCCTTTCTGAAGAGCAGCAACTGAAATTTCTTTCAACCTTTCAGCTGTTACTTTCTGTTGGGTTTCCCCCATGTGGATGCAGATCAGGGGTTAACCAAGGACTTCAGGGAACTTTATACACAGTTCTGAGACTCCTCTTTCTGTGACTTCCTTCCTGTCAGAATTTCTCAATTCAGCTTCCAGCTTCTCTAGTGGCTCCCAGCTCTGTCTTCAGATATCTCAAGTCAATAACGCAGCAGCCTTCTGCTTATTCCCAGCTGCTCTGTGCCTTTCAGACTAAACCCATATTAGAGTGTATCCCGCCCAGTGAGGCTTTCCTTCTTTAAGGGTGAAATCATTTACAGCTTCTATCTTGCTCTTTGTCACTCTCAAATTCCTGAGATAAGCTTCTCTGCTGCTATTGGAAACAGAATCAGACAAGATGATTTCTAAGGAACATTCTTATTCTAGGTGCTCTGGATCCAGTTTTAAGCAGTAAATACACTGTAACATACATAGAAAACAATCTCTGCATTTATTGAAGAGCTATAAATTGTTATTTTCATAAAGTATGGTACTGTATGGTGTGTGGTACATCAGTACATACTGCTGTTCTGGATGGAGTATTATCCAGGAATATAATAAAATGGAAAACCAGGATCAATGTGCCCATATAATGAGTGGTCGGACTCCCTGCTTTCAGAGTCAGTCTGGAGTATTATGTCTTCATGATAATTAACTGTTTAGTAAACTGAGCAAAGTTAAGTGTAAGCACATAAAGAAGAGATCAGCACAATGTAAGAAGCCATGTCATTCTCAGACCTGCATAATCCTCCCCTTCGGAGACATAGAAGTGCTTCTGCACTGGTTCTCTGTTGCTGCCCCACGATCTGCTGAATATGGACGATCTCCTGGGCACCGGGTCACAGCGCACAGCTGGCAGGAGGGGAGTAATTGGGGAAAGGATTTATAGCTCAGTGACCAGCAGACATCTCCAGTGGCCTGTTTCTGACTCCTCTCATTAGTTCGTCTGAATTCCTATTTCCCTACGACTGTAAGCAGCTGTGCGTGGCTCCCTCCTTGCTCAGACAGACCTCTAATAAACCTGGTCTCAGGTAGTACTCAGTCCAGGTGCCAGAGACAAGGTTAGTAAGAAGGGCAGCTCTTCTCTGTGAGGATCAAGGCCACCAACCTCCATGTGCAGAAAGGATGCTTAGAGGCAGCCTGTCTGGATTTCTTTCTCCTTTATTAAGTACTTCTCTTCTTCTTTTCTTACTTTAGGATAAACTCTTACACACTGCAAAAAATAATGCAGAAAAAAACATAATGAGCAAATTTTTGAAGATGTCCCTTCACCTTACCACCCAGAGGTAGTTATAAACATTATGCTGTGCAAACTCATACACACACTCAAATGCACGTATAGTTTCCACTTTGCCCAGATGCACATCATCATTAGTTTTAGTGGCAGCATACTGAATGGATGCACCAAACATAATGTTAGCAACCATCTAGTGAGAGGTATTTTTTAAGACCCCAACATATATATTCTTTAATTTTTATTTTACTCATTCTTATTTTTTTGTTGAAGTACAATTGACAGAATTGTAATATATTTAAAGTGTACAACATGATGATTTGGTACACATACCACAATGTAGCTAATTAACATGCCCATCCCCTCGCACAGGTATACCTCAAACACTTTTTAGGCATTTACTCTCAGCAAAATTTCGGGTATACAGTAAAGTATTATTAACTATGGTCATCATGCTACACATTAGCTCCTCAGAATTACTGATTCTTTAACTGAGCGCTTGCACCCTTCCACCACCCTCTCCCTATTTCCACCCTCCCCCCAGCCCCCAGCAACCATCAGTCATTCTACTCTGTGTTTCTATGTCTTTGACTTTTTGATTTTTTAAAATTCCACATGTAAGTGATACTTTACAGTATTTGTCTCTCTCTCTTCCTGGCTTCTTTCACTCAGCACAATGCCCTCCAGTTCCACACATGCTGTCACAATTGGCAGGTGTTGATTGACACTTAGGTTGTTTTCATATCTTGTCTGTTGAGAATAAATCTCAGTATGTATTTTAATTCTTCAGAGATGTTTCTTAGTTACTTAAACTTAAGTTACTCATTAATATCATAGCTTATTTTAATTCCCTACAATGCCTCATGTTTTTATGTTTGCTCATTGATTTACTTGCTCACTGTGATTTTTTATAGATTATAAATGACAAGAGACTAAGGACATTCTTTTGTTCATCCCTCTATCCCAAATACCAAGAATAGTGTCTTGCACAAAGAGAGGTTTCATAAATCTTATTAGTGTGAATGAAAAGTTATACTGTGTTGTCCTAACTGCTCTGAGAAGAGAGGGTAGGAATACTGGCCAATATGCCTGTAACTTCATACTTGGAACCTGTGGGCCAACATTAGAGCAGACAGATGGCCTGGAGGGTGGGACAGGATAAGGCTATCATCTATCAGAAAACTGTAGTTTCAGGGAAGCAAATCATTTGTAGAATCTCCAACAACAGTGGTGGGAACATAAGGAGGAAGGATTTCAGGCAACAACCACAGACAAAAGCATGGCAGCAGGAACCCCAGGCAGCTCAGCAGAATTCTCATCTCTCTTCCCTCCCCCTCAGCAGCCATGTCCCTGGGGGCTCAAAGCCCTATATATTCCCCCAAATATTTCACCACTGATTGAAATTCTCACCCAAGTTATTTTTTTGGCATTGACAAAGTAAGGTCCCAGGACTGTTGCCTGAGACCTAGTCTTAGACTTGTACTTGTACTGGAATATTCTCTGAGGAGAAACAAACACAACCTGAGCACGTGAGGCAGGTTGGCATCAATAAGATCCAAGAATGTTAAAGCCATTACCCGTTAAAGCCAGCTCAGGTCTTCACCGAGTACTTATTATGGGCCTGTGCTAGTATTCCTGGTTGTCTGACCTCGGCACAGCCCAGGCAACGATGTAAGAGTGCCAGGCTGGGGCTGTGGTAGACAGGATGTGACCTAGACCCAAACAGTGAGACAAGGCGGGCATCAGGGTGAGTCCCAGCTTTAGATGGTAATAGGAGCAATATGCTAACCAGGAACATAGGGACAGAGAACGGGATCTTCCCACACAAGGACCTGGCATCAAAGATGCAAAAGGGAGTGATCGGTGTCCCAAAATGGAGCCAGCACACAGTGATAGGGATTCCAGAACAGGCAATAAATCACTGAGTAGAAGGGAGACAGGCACTGGGCCAGAACTCTGACCCAAGAGTTTTGGGAACCGAGGGAGGAGATGAAGGGTGCAATCAGTCAAAACAAGTCCCGAGTACTGTTGATTGATTCACTGCACATGCTACCAAGGCAGGAACTCTGGCAAGTCCACATATGGAACTTTCCATGGTGAAGATGCCTCTGCCAGCACAGGCAGGAATCAACATGTTTTCCCTGCTTAGGATGGCTGGCAGCCGGCCTCAGAGCGTGGTTTCCTTAGGAGGTCAGTAATGGACAGGGCACTTCAGCATTTAGTTGCAGCAAGCCTGAAGGAGCTCCCAGGGTCCGCTGGGCAGAAGCAGCAAGTTATCACCCTTCCTTCCTTCATAAAAGAACCCCTAATTCATCTGGGCAACAACAGCTCCAGTTAGGAACCGCATTTCCCAGCCTCTCCCTCAGCTGTGTGTAACTCCGTGCACATGGCCCTCAACAACACGTGTGGTGCGTCCAAACCTCGCCCAGCTCTGCGGGCCCTGCAGGACGGCCGTGGGGGCTGCTCCGGCCCTTTCAACTTTTCCTCTGTCTGCTCTTCCTCCTTTATGTTGCCGATGGCTGTAACTATTAACAGCCGTGTTGGGCCATGAGGTGACCCTAAGACTAGAGGCTGTGCCTGGAAGATGTGCTAAAACTTGCACAGAACGAAGAGAGAGGGGAGAGGCCCCAGAAGCACAGGGGGAGCTGCCAAGCCCGTCATGTCACGCCTTCCTCCGAATTTATTTTCTTTGTTTCCAGGAGAAAGAAATAAGGCTTGTTTAGCTTTAGTCGCTGGTTTTTTCCATTATATGCTGCTCTCCCTATTCTGCGTTGATACGGACCAGTTAGGGGTAGGGTGAGCGGGCTCTGCGGTGGACCCATGATCCCCACCTTCTAGCATTCAGGGCCTTGTACACCTGTCTTCCCCTGACTGTGGGCAAAGCCTGGCCCTTGCTTCTGTCTAGTAGAGAAGAGCAGAGGTGAAGGGAGGCATTTCCATTGTTTACATTACGTCCCTAAGACTGTGTTTTGTTAGCAGAGCCACTCTAGAGGCGGTCTCCCTAGCTTCCTGTGAAGAAGTGGCCATTCTGGCATGGCACCTCCCTGGCACAGGGCTGAGGGTGGCGTCTGGGATCTGAGAGAGGTCTGCACCCAATAGCGGCAACAAACTAGGGTCCTCAGTCCTACAACCGAAAGGAAATGATTTCTGCAGCCAACCTGAGTCAGCCTGGAAGTGAATTCTTCCCCAGTCAGCCTCCAGACAGTAACACCACTTAGCCAACACTGTGATCACAGCTTTTGGAGATCATAAGTGAAGAACCTAGGTAAGCTGCTCCCAGACCTCATGCCTCCAGACACGGCGAGATGATGAACGGGTGCTGTTTTCAGTCCCTGGGTGTGTGGATGCAGCAGGAAATTGCTAATGCAAGGACTCTAGGCTTCATCTGTGGGTCTCAAAAGCTTCCTGAGGCTGCAGTTTGCCTTAGCCTACGAGTTTATCACTTCATTAGCTTGCAGAATGTGTGGATGTGGAGTTCACAGTTACTTGGCTTCACCTATAAAATGACAAATATTAAATAAACATTAAAAAGTAGAAGTGTGATCTTCATCCCCAAGAAGTCTGTGAGATGTTTTTGCATGTTCGCTAACATCATCACCAAGTGCAGGCAGGAAAGTTGCAAGGGCCCATTTAGTCCCGAGAACAACAGAAGGTGAGAGCCTCTTTTTTTTGGCACAATATGCCACACAAATGCGATGCTGGACAAAAAGTGGGCATTTTGAATCAATGCACTTTTTATACTTAAAAAGGAAAAAGCAAAAATCAGAGACTCGCTTCTCCCTGAAGACAGGCAAACACTGAGATTTTCAGACAAAAGCATGGTATGGAAGTGAGGAACGTTGTTATTAATTAACGTAGTTGTAAAATTTTGAGTTTCAAGGAGAGAAAAATCTTGGAAGCAATTACAAAAAGTCATTGTATAACATTTAGATTAAATAAACATTTCTCTTAAGGAAAACAAAACATTGAATTTTCCTTTGATTTTCCAAATATGAGTAATCCAGTTCGCCAGCTCTCACCTAACACTCAGTGGTACTGAAAAACTTGCAGATGACCCAGTAAACACAAAGCTCCTAGCAATATCACCCCAATCAAATATATTACGTTAAATCAAACATAATTGCTCCCCGTGTCATAACAGGATAACATAAATGTCACAGAGGCAGAGGGAAAGGACATGCATTCACTTCCTCTTGACTTAAAAAGTGAATAAATTCTACATAATAAAGCAACCTGTGAGCCAGTGTTTTCCCACACATTATTTTGGGGGAACAGGCATGTATGAGAATGAAGGGTGTTTGTATTTAATTTTTTTTTACTTTTCAAGAACTGGAGGTTCTAAGTATGTTAATTATCCACCTTCCATGCCCCAATCAGAGACAAAATACATGAAGAGCTAGTTATCAGAACAATATTTATAACTAAAATAAATCTTTTGACATGCAGCTTAATTATCTAGGTCCAAAATATTTTTCCAACTAGGAATTTTACAACTGCAAGTTTGTCTCATATATGACATACATCAGTCTTTGCTTCCTCCTCCTTCCCCACCCCACCAAAAGCAACCAAATGCTAGAAAAATTGCTATGCTGATCCTAAGTGTTCCACATGATTCTGTGGAAATAAAATTTTTTAATGAAAAAAACATGTCAGCCAACAACTGTAAATCTTAATTCTTTTCCATAACCCTTATGGTTGGTGGGAAAGTCCTCCACATTCTGGAAACGGACTAACCATTCTCAGCTATTGGTGATGGTATGAGCTGTCAACATTTTGTATCTTTGACAGAAATTATGTACTGGGAGGGCCAGGGAAATACCGTGGGGACTGAAGCTGGTGGTGTTTGACTCATACCAACAGAAGTGGGATATGAGATTGGTATTACAAAAATTAAATTTCCACATGCTTCTAAGTTTCTGACAAATGATAACATAGAATCCTCATGTATTTTATGCCAGATTACTCCTCTTTCCTGAGCTTGGGAATCTGGTCCCTTTTTAGCATGATGTTTTATGTTAAATAATTGTCTATATTACTGATAATAGTTTATTGTTAAGTCTTAATTTATAAAGAGTTTTTTAAAAGATTGTGTTGACTCTTCCAGGAGAAGGAGAATGGCTCAAAGATCCTAAAGTAGAAAATAACAAAAACAAAAATGAAAATTAAAACACTTCAGAAAAATAATTCAGGAACATCGGCCAAGGACAGTGTCCTTATGAGAGAAAAAGGGACGTTTGCGGAGTGACAGCTGGGGACCAAAAGAGGGAGTCAGGCTGCATGCTCAATCCGCAGATTATACCGAAAGTTGCACGCTCTCCATGAAAACTTTCTCTGAAAATACAGGTGGCTTTGATCTGTATAGTACTTGGTACTATACAGTACCAAGTACTGTATAGTACTTCTCATCCTTTCTCTTAAGCTTGAAAGTTGTTCTGAACCTGTGTAGTTGGCGTTAATCATTCCCATCAAAGGTATTCATGGTCATACACTCATAAGTGGGTCCTCCAAGCGGTTTTATGTTTAATGGGTGTATTTTATTGTATATGAATGGTATCTCAATAGAGTTGCCTTTATTTTTTTAATGTTCATTTTTGAGAGAGAGAGAGGCAGAGCGCAGTGGGAGATGGGCAGAGAGAGAGGGAGACACAAAATCTGAAGTAGGCTGTAGGCTCTCTGCAGACAGCTCAGAACTCACTAACCATGAGATCATTACATAAGCTGATGTAGGAAACTTAACTGACTGAGCCACCCAGGCTCCCCTAGAGTTGACTTTAAAATACAAGGTCATATTGTTGGGATGAGCACTGGGTGTTGCATGGAAACCAATTTGACAATAAATATATTTAAAAAATACAAGATCATGGAGTATTTTTTAATGTCTTCTTATTTATTGGTTTTTTAAAAATATTTTTATTTATTTCTAGGAGAGAGAGAGAGACAGCGTGAGCAGGGGAGGGTCAGAGAGAGAGGGAGACACAGACTCTGAAATGGGCAGTCAGCACAGAGCCCGATGCGGGGCTCAAACCCACGAACCGCGAGATCATGACCTAAGCGAAAGTCGGACGCTTAACCGACTAAGCCACCCAGGCGCCCCTCCTATTTATTGTTTTGAGAGTATCCTTTAACATTGCATTTCTTTATTTACTTATTTGTACTTATGGTAGATCTTTTCTACACATTTATTCTGTGGAGACCCTGAAGGAAGAGACCATGTATCCATCATTGCATCTCACACAAAACATGGAACATTGTAGAAACTATACTATTGATGTTAGCAATGAGCCTAAGGCCCCCCAAATTTCTGTGTGTGTGTGTGTGTGCACATGCATGCACATATGCACATACACATAAATACAGTGAAGGCAAAGTAGAGTCTCAATAAAATTCCAGAAAGAAACCCCTGCATTACTACCAACCCCTTGACTATGTCCATGCTCATAATCATCCTACCTAATATAACAAGAAATGCAGGAAGGGCCTGGAGAACTCAGAGCTTCACAGTTTGGGAGAGACTATCTCATAGGCCAAGTATGTAAGTAATGAATAAGTAGCAGAGCCTAATCTGAGTGTTCCTGAGCAGTGTTTCTCAAAGCTTACAGATCCTAGATTAGTAAACAGTCTGCGAGTTCTAACGAGCTTCCAGGTGGTGTTGACGTTGCCAGTTCTGTGCATCGCACACTTTCATCAGTGGAGTTTCAGACCAGATACCGTGCTCTTTCCATTAGTACGTGCAGTCTCCTCTCTCCTTTCCACAGCTGCTGTCATTTGTACCAATGTTTTGTCACTTAAATATGTCATCTGTTGTGTGCATTACTTTTTTCTATTTTCTCACGTATAAACATATCACTCCTCAGTAAAGCATCTAATAAAGTTCTCTTGAATAAATAAACTATTTTGTAAGAATCTGAAGGGTATAGTTTGTGTCACATGAGCCTTTGACTTCTTCAAGGCTGACATATGACATAGACTATATAAAATCTGAAAATCAAAATTAAAAATGTTTAAATAAAGACCTGATATAAAATTTGAGCTGATGAGATATTCAGGGAAATAGAAGAGAGCCTTGGACTGAGAAGAGCCTGGGCTTTGAGGTAGAGACAAAGAACAGAGCGCACCTCTAGGTCAGAGTCAGGATTCACAAGGCTCATGAAGCTGCAACCCAACCTCTCATTACCCACCTGCCGTGTTTTGTCTCTTTTATCAATCCTGACAGCGGCAGGAGGGCAGGAAGGTTTCTCATCAAGGTTTCCACCAAGACACACGACACAACAGACTCTGTGTGCCTGAGGGAGGCGCCCGAGCACAACATGCAGTCTCCTGATCCCTGGACTCTTTACCCAGCGTTTCTGACACCACCTCAGGCCTCGGTAGTGGGCCTGCCTGAAACAAAGATTTTATTTTGTGTGTGACACAAGGAGACAATTCACCCTGCTGTCTGTTCAACAGATTAAATAGTGACAGACACTAGGAAGATTGTGACCCTCTTATAACCTACAAGTCACCTTTGTGTAGGATATCCTTCGTGCAGTCTGGGTGGTTTGGGCTGAATTTAACAGGGCTGTTGTGAAAGCACTTTGGACTACTCACAATGAGGACAAAATAAGGGGTGAAGGGTGAAGCTGTGATGTCATGCTCATCGGCCCAGGAAGGGGCTTCCCATCTTGGCAAAGCAGGGAAGCAGGTCATGTCTCACCACAGGTACGGAGAACCAGGGTGGACGCCCGAAGCTCTTGCCTCTTGGGCCACTGAGCGAACACTAATCAGAAGTTTGATATTTTAAAAGTGTTCTAGCAGCTAATAATTTTTAAATTTATGACCTAGTTTTTCTACTCAATGTGGAAATCTTACTGGTTTAAAATGAACATACCCAAATGACTCACAAGATAAATTAGCCTCAGAAAGATGCACTGCCTAAAATGGACAAATGCTGGAAATGTTTACATTTTATGCCCTTGTGATCCATTAGGTGCGCTGTGTGGAGCAGCATTTTCCTTTCCCGTAGGACATCAAAGCAAAACATCTTGAAAACAAAGCAATGATAAATAGGTATTTGGCAAGACGATATTGAGAAAAAAAAAAAAAACCGAGTCAGTGATTTCAGATGTTTTTTGGACTAACCCAACTGCTCCCTTTGGTGATTCCAAGTTACTACTTGAAATATTTATATATTTATCAACTTGGATTTAGAGTTGACTCTAAGTTGATAAATTTTGTTTTAAGCCTCTATTTGCATACAGATATATGAAAGATGTAAATGTTCAAACAAAGAAGTATTACTTCCCTAAAATGGACTTCCCTAATACATGGAAGGTATTAGCAATATGATTTAATATAACTACTCAGATTCTCTCATTTTAAGAGGAAATAGTTCAAATCATTAGTTTCTTTTTCACTGTGAAATACAATAACCATTCTGCATATTGTAACTTATTTTGAAGAGACCATGCCACTTTTGGGGAAAAGACCATTTTGCTTAAGTTTCTTGGTTAGACAGCA